TTTGTTGTGTTTATTGTCAGGGACAGATGACAGATGTTGAGAGAATGATACAATACAGAGTTAGTCCACGTGCTCACAAGCAATGGTGCCACAAAAGGCTTTAGGGATTTTGGGGCAATCACCTGCCCCACCACTAACAGCCATTCAAAATAAAATATAAATAAAGAATATACTTGCTGAAAAATTGCAGCTTCAATATACATCTCCAGACCACCTCCCAACCAGAATAGCCATCTCTAAGACATTTCCAGTAGAATAATTCTGGAACTTTCACTTGGTGTGTGTGTGTGTGTGTGTGTGTGTGTGTGTGTGTGTGTGTGTGTGTGTGTGTCTAAAGGAAAAATGTATATATCTATATCTATATCTATATATATAGATATGTATATATATATATATATATATATAGCTGTACACTTTCCTTATAGAGCAGTGGTTCTCAATCTTTACTGTACCCGAATCAACATCAACAGGAGAACTTACAAGGTTCCCAGTCCAAGCTCCAGGCTAGTTCTATCAGAATCTGTAGGGGTGGCTACCAGACATCCCATGATTACCAGAATCATCTATGTTGAGAAAACACTGCTATTGAGTAACTGTACCCAGTCATCCTCCATCCCTTTCCCATTTAAGAATTTAACTGGGAGAGCATGGAGGGCTAGAGGAGAATCAGATTCTTTCTTAATAGGATCTAGCCCTTTAATAAATAGTAGTAAAGATTCTTGCATTTATTCTTCTCAGTGACTGTTGGAAATCTATCTCTCTAGAAAAATCTTCAGTGATAAGACAACAACTGTATATATGTGTGTGTGTGTGTGTGTGTGTGTGTGTGTGTGTTTACTAATTACACCAGTTATCTGCTTTAAAAAACTCTTCTGTTTACATGGGATCATACTTTAGACATATTGTCTTTCTATAGCTTCCTTTAACAGAAAAACTATTTCTAGTCCCACGTGTTTGCTTTAAGGCTCTACTTATAACTCAACTTACACTTCTCCAGAACCACAGAATTATTTTACTGTATTTCTCTTTAAGGTTTAGCTGAGTATATATTTATGTCGCTACCTCAACAAAAAGTCACAAAAGACTTTCGTGAGTGGTAAAAATCATAAATTTAGAAATAATTGACAAAGTTGATAAATATCATTTATACATATTTTTGAATGTTTATTAATCCTTTTGAGATATCTATAGCCTTTCATGTTACATATGTGCCATGTCTTTTAATGCTGATATGGAGTATACCACTATTTATAAGTAAAATGTATGTTTCTCAGTGTTTACTTGCTTAAAGCATTTAATGTGTTTTCCATATATACTCACTTAGCAAACGCTTGAAAATGTTATGAAGTATAAAAATTGTGGAGCCAATTACAAGAATTTGGAGAAATCACTGAAGAATATACAAGTCATATGGAGGGCAGAGGTCATATAGATTTTAATACCATATTGGAACACAAACATAGTTATAAAACCTTGAAAAAGAAAAAAAAAGATTAGAAATGAAAAGAATGAAAGAGTTTTATACTGAAAGTGTGGCATGTGAACAATGAATAAGCTGTGATAAATTTGGAAATGTGTTACCTAAAAAATATATGTTACAATTGTTGGTGCTACACACAGAATAGATATTTTGTTTATAAAAGCCCTCAATGTCTGCTTGAATGAAATATATCTCATCAGGACAAATATTTTGTAAGAATTCATTCCCTTGTACTCTTTTCATTTTCTGCAAAGGGTTACTGACTTTGTGATGTGAAGTTGCTGCCATTCTTTCTGTTCTAAACATGGACATCATCTTGATTTTTAGGTAGCTCTTTATTAGGCTCATTTTCTAGCCTCTCGGTCTCTGCTGGCTACCCTATTGTTTACCACTTATTTTTCTTTTTCCTCGATTTGGGAAAAGTTTATAACATTATAAACTTATTGCACTTCTTTTTTTTTTTTCTCTTTGGGGAAAGTTATAGTTTGCTTCAGTGGCACATTACTGGATTTGACTGGAGTTCCAAATTCTTATGTTTCCTGGAGATAAGTGTCTACTCAGAAAGAGTTCTCCTCTTTTTTTATGAGAAAAACTTTGACTCTTGTAGATATTCTTCAGTTGATGACAGCATGACCCTGACTTTCTGAAAAGCCAAACCAATATTATTATTGGATATACAGTGCATGCTAAGCATAGATATACCTACAGATAAGAGTCGAGGAGAGGGTTATAGAGTTACAAAAATGGATGAAGCTAGTTTTAGCCTACCAGTTTATTTTTAGAGCATCCAATGCTGTTCTTACATTTCCTCCACTAATAATGTTTGAAAACATGTGATATTTTGTGGATGAATTTGGAAAGCAAGTTTTTTTAAAAAACAATAAATTATTGTTTACTACCTACTCCTGGTAAAGTGACAATATCTCAAAGAAATCAGACAATCTTAAGTACAAGGACAGAATGTTATAAACATTAGATTTAGAAAGGTTTGCAGTAATATGGATGAAACTTGAGGACATTATGTTAGGAGAAGTGAGCCAGGCACAGAGAGTTAAAAAGTGCATCTTCTCACCCATATGTGAAAGCTAAAAAAAGTTGATCTCATGAAAATAAAAAGTAGAACAGAGAATAACAGAGGTTGAAAAAGGCAGGGAAAGAAAGGGATAGGGAGAGATTTGTTAAAGAATACAAAACTATAGCTAGGTAGGAGGAATAAGTTGTAGGGTTCCATATCACTTCTGGATGACTATGGTCAAGAATATTATTTAATGTAGCTTCAAGTAACCAAAAGAAAGATATTGAATATTTCCAACACAAATAAATGATAAATTCTTGACATGATAAATAGGCTGATTACCCTGATCTGATCACCATATATTAAATATATTGAAACTTTGCTATGTACTCCGTAAGTATGTATAATTATTATTTGTTAATCAAAAGGATAAATAAAATAAATATATTTAGAAAGGACAGGTATTTATGCATTTAAGTCATAATTCATTTATACAACCATTAATGGATTCAAAGTTATCAAAGGCAGCTATAGTGCTTTATGATGTTACAAATAGTATAACTACATTGATTTAAATTATAAAATAGAGTATTTCTTTAAAACCTGGATTGTATATATGTAAGTTTTGTGCTGGCTATTGACCACTCAGTCCATAAAACAAGTGTCATCAAACTAAAAATGATTGAAATAATACAAAATATGTTCTTTAATGCCCTTGGAATAAAATAAAAAGTCAATAGCAGAAGCAAATTTGGCAAATTCAGAAATAAGTGGAAATTAAGCAACATATTAGTACATAACAATTTATTGTTCAAAGAATAAATCACCAGATAAATTAAACAACACGTTAAGATAAAGAAAACAAACAAACATAACATACCAAAACTTATGGGATGCACAAAAGCAGTGATCAGAGAGAAATTTATTGCTGTAAAACTCTAAGTCAAAAAAAGAAATAGGGTTTCAAATTAATAATCTAACATTCCACATTAAAAAACAGGGAACAAAAAAGACCAAGCCTAACCCAGAAAAATAGAAGGAAAAAATAATAAAGATTAGAGGAAAAATAAATCAATAGAAAAATAATGGAGAAAATCAACAAAATCAAAACTTGATTACCTGAAAAAACCTACAGTATTGACAAACTGTAATCATTGGTCAATTTGGAGCCACAAAATAAGAGATTCCAATAACTGAAATCAGAAATAAAAGATAATATATCACTGGCTAATCAAAATACAAAATGGATTATTATGGAAAGTGATGAATAAAAAAATTAAAACTCCAGTGCAGTACCACCTTACATCCATTAGGATAGCTACAAGCAAAAGCAGACTATTAACAAATAGGTGAATGGCAACAACATTACATCACAAATCAGTAACCCTTGTAGAAAATGTCAAGAATATAAGGGAATGAATTCTTATTAAAAAAAAATTGTCCTGATGAGATATACTTCATTCCAGCAGACACTGATAGTTTTTATTAATAAAATATTAATAAGAAGCTGGAATCCTCACAAATTCCAAATGTGGATGTAAAATGGTACAATGGTTTGGAAAACAGTTTGGCAATTTCTCAAAAGGTTAAGCATAGAGTTTAATTTATGACAATGCTTCTCTTATGTATGTGCCAAGCTAAACTAAAACATATAGCCATACAAAATTTGTATATAAGTGTTAGTAATAGCATCATTTATCATAAGCAAAATATGGGAACAGTTCAAATATTCATTGTGTCGGTCCATTTTCATGCTGCTGATTAAAGACATACCCACTACTGGGTATTTTATAAGTAAAAGAGTTTTAATGGACTCACAGTTCCATGTGGCTGGGTAGGCTTCAAAATCATGGTAAAAGGTAAAAGGCATGTTTTACATGGTAGCATGCAAGAGAGAATCAGAACCAAGTGAAAGGAGAAACCCCTTATAAAAACATCAGCTCTCATGAGCCGTATTCACTACCATGAGAATAGCATAGGGAAAACCACCTCTATTATTTAATTATCTCCCACTGGGTCCCTCCCACAGCATGTGGGTATTAAGGGAGCTACAATTCAAGATGATATTTGGATGTGGACACAGTCAAATCATATCATTCCACCCTGGCCCTCCCAAATCTCATGTCCTCACATTTCAAAACCAATCATGCCTTTCCAACAGTCTCTCAAAGTGTTAACTTACTTCAGCATTAACTCAAAAGTCCATGGTCCAAAGTCTCATTTGAGACAAGGCAAGTCCATTTTGTCTATGAGCGGTAAAATCAAAAGCAAATTAGTTACTTCCTAGATATGATGAAGGTATAGACATTGGCTAAATACACTCATTCCAAATAGGAGAAATTGGCCAAAACAAAAGGTCTAAAGTCCCATGCAAGTCTGAAATCTTAAAACTCCAAAATGATCTCCTTTGACTCCATATCTCATATCCAGGTCACACAAATGCAAGAGATGGGTTCTTATGGTCTTGGACAGCTCCAGTCCTGTGACTTTGCAAGATACAGACTCCTTCCAGACTGCTTTCATGGGCTGGCATTGAGTGTCTGCATCCTTTAGAGGCGCACAGTGCAGGCTGTCTGTAGATATACCATTCTAGGATCTGGAGGATGATGGCCCTCTTTTCATAGCTCCACTAGGCAGTGCCCAAGTGGGAACTCTGGTGGGGGGGCTTCAATGCCACATTTTCCTTCTGCACTGCCCTAGCAGAGGTTCTTCATGAGAGCCTCACCCTTGCAATAAACTTCTACCTAGACATCCAGGCATTTCCATACATCCTCTGAAATCTAGGCAAAGGTTTCCAAACTTCAATTCTTGATTTCTGTGTACCCACAGGCTAAACATGATATGGAATCTGCCAAGGCTTGGAGCTTGCACCCTCTGAAGCCATGGCCCAAGTTGAACCTTGGCCCCTTTTAGCCATGGCTACAGCAGCTGGGACTCAGGGCACCAGGCACAGCAGTGGAGCACTGGGCCCAGCCCACAAAACCATTTTTTCCTCCCAGGCCTGTGGGTCTGTGATGGGAAGTGCTGCCAGAAAGTTCTCTGAAATACCCTGGAGACATTTTTCCCATTGTCTGTGATTAACATTTGGCTCCTCGTTACTATGCAAATTTTGCTTGAATTTCTCCTCAGAAAATGGGTTTATCTTTCTATCACATTACTGGATTAGGTTGCATATTTTCCAAACTTTTATTCTCTATTTCCCTTCCAAAATTGAAAGCTTTCAACAGCACCCAAGTTGCCTCTTGAATACTGTGCTGCTTAGAAGTTTCTTCTGCCAGATACCCTAAATCATCTCCCTCCTGTCAAAATTCCACAGATCTCTAGGGCAGGGACAAAATTCTGCCAGTCTTTTTGCTAAAACAGCAAGAGTCACCTTTACTCCAGTTCTCAACAAGTTCCTTATCTCCATCTGAGACCACTTCAGCCTGGATTTTATCGTCCATATTACTATCAGCATTTTGGTCAAAGCTATTCAACAAGTCTCTAGGAAGTTCCAAACTTTCCCACATTTTCCTGTCTTCTCCTAACCTTTCAAACTGTTTCAACTTCTGCCTGTTACCCAGTTCCAAAATCACTTCCACATTTTCAGCTGTCTTTTCAGCAATGCCCCACTCTACAGGTAACAATTTACTCTGTCTATTTTCATGCTGTTGGTAAAGACACACCTGAGACTGGTAATTTACAAAGAAAAAGAGATTTAACGGACTCACAGTTCCACATAGCTGGGGAGGCCTCACAATCATGGTGGAAGTAAAATACATGTCTTAGATAGTGGCACGCAAGAGAGAATCAGAGCCAAGCAAAAGGGGAAACTGCTTATACAAACATCAGATTGCATGAGACTTATTCACTACTGTTAGAACAATATTGGGGAAACTGCCCCCAGTGATTCAGTTATCTCCCATCAGGTCCCTCCCACAACATGTGGGAATTATGGGAGCTACAATTCAAGATGAGATTGGGGTGAGGTTGAAGCCAAACCATATCATCCACCAACCATTGAATGGATAAACAAATTGTGCTATATTCACATAAAGAATATTATTCAGCAATTAAAGGAATTAATTATTGTTATATGATACAAAATGAATGAACCCTGAAAACATTACACTCAGTGAAGGAAGTCAATTATGAAAAACCATACATTGTATGATTCCATTTATATGAAATGTTCAGAACAGAACAAATTTGTTCAGAACAAATTCTTAGACAGTAAATAGATAATGGTGTCTAGGGTGGAGAGGATATCAGGACTGTCTGTAATGGGCACCTGATTTTTGTAGGAGGGTTGAATATATGTTTTAAACTTAGATTGTGGTTGAATAATTCTGTTAATATACTAAAATCATTTAATGGTATACTTTAAATAGGTGAATTTTATAATACGTGAATTATATCTAAAGAAGTATGTTCAAATATCCCTGCTTTATACACTCCTCAATATTTAAGTTTTCATTCCTCTTAATCCCAAGAAAATGCTATTTTAAAAATAAATTTTTAAAAATGATTTTACTATGGGCAAAATTTAAAGGTAGTATTCTTACATAATCATCTTGCAAAGTATAACTACTTGGATTATATATTTTTCTCCAAACATCTTTATGTCTGATTTTTTTTTTTTTTTACTTTTTTGCTAGTTCAGTAGGAGGAATTTGGCAATGTAAATATATCATGGGTGAGAGTTATGACTATTTTGAAATATAGTAAAAAATGTATATTTTACAGGATGCTATTCAGACCCAAATTCATTTTCATGCATAAATATCTGTCTGATAGCTTCCATGAATAGCTTTTTAAAGAATTTTCCCAAACCAGGATATTTGAATCAAATAATCTATCTACATTTGTTTAAAACATGATTTTTGTTTTAGGTATTCATTTAAAACATTTAAAAACATGATTTTTGATAATATATAATGAAAGCTATTGATATATCATAAATTAATATAATTATGTCAGCTTTGTAGTTCTATTAAAGCATGTGGATAAAAATTTTTTTTCTGTTTTCTTAACTATTAATCACTTGAACAAGTGAGTATGGTGAAAAAAATAAAGACTGAAAAAAGAGGTCTGGGAGGTTTTATGATGAAAGCGTCAAGTTAAAAGCTTAATTTCTAATTCATGGAAATGACTGCAAGTTATGATCCAAACAAAAATTAATTTTTGCATCTTGGGAAAATGCTTACAATTGCATGGCTAAACATAACAGTAAGTTGACAATTGAAAGAATGTGGGCCATGAAAGGGATTAGTAAAAGTATTGAAGGCTGATAGAGAAATATAACTGGAAGGTTAAATTGTACATATAAAGATTTAAGGATAGATTTCACTCAATTTTGAAAAATGTTATTATCAATGAAATTAACATTTAAATTAACATTTAAAAATGTGTGTGTCAGATGTCTTAGCAGAACATCCACAATTCTCTTCAACTTTATCTCTCTTTTCCTATATTAATAGCAACAACCATGATGAGAGCTTCAACCATGACAACTTGCAATAGTATGATACTTTTCATATGCCAAAAACAGTGTAAAACTCTATAAAATGACATATTTTATTCAATCCTTACCCAAAAATCTGAGGTGAACACCATTGTTATCCTCATTTTTTTTTTTTTTTTTTTTTGAGACGGAGTTTCTTTCTTGTTACCCAGGCTGGAGTGCAATGGCGCGATTTCGGCTCACCACAACCTCCACCTCCTGGGTTCAGGCAATTCTCCTGCCTCAGCCTCCTGAGTAGCTGGGATTACAGGCACGCGCCACCATGCCCAGCTAATTTTTTGTATTTTTAGTAGAGAGGGGGTTTCACCATGTTGACCAGGATGGTCTCGATCTCTTGACCTCGTGATCCACCCGCCTCGGCCTCCCAAAGTGCTGGGATTACAGGCGTGAGCCACCGCTCCCGGCCCCTATCCTCATTTTTAAAATGAATAAAATATAAGTGTTGGAAGATTAAGTGACCTGACCAAAATTACCAAGGCAGTAAATGTTGGAGCTGTATTCAAATCCAGCTTTTCTGACACCAAAGTCTGCAGCTTCTAAGGCTTTCCAAGTACATGGACCTATTTACAGTTCTTTGAATAAGTTTCATTATTTCATACCTTGCACAAACTTTCATTCTGTCTGTAATATTCTTTCTTACTTTTCCCTTGGTAGACTAAGACTTTCATCCTGCAAGAACAAATCCGTTGTGTGTTCTCCTCTGTTAAGCTTTCCCTGTCTCAACCAAGCAGAATTGATGACACTTTCCTTTGTACTCCCATTGGTTCTGGTTCAAACTACTCATCTTCCCTTAACCCATGATAGTGCAATTATTTATAGTCACATCCATCTGGAACATAATGAGCATACAACATATGCTATTAAATGAATGAAGAGATGAACGAATGAGTGCCCTGCAACCATAAAACATCATGCTATTGTGACTGGAAATAGGAAATTACTACAATACTCAATGAAAGTTGCTAATTTTAACTATCAGGTTTTAGGGCACATTATGATGACTTGACAGAAGTGATTACAGAAAAGGGTTATGGAAAGAATTTATTCATATTAGTGGGGCTGACTTATTTGCATTTTTTTCTTTTACTGTATTTTGATACACATATTCTCTCTGTCACCTTGTCAGACTTCTTCCCTCCTTTCAACTTAGGTTACTTATTGATTAGGAACATAGAGTAAAGACAAGAACATTTTCAAATGGAGGAGACAAAAGAATATAACAACCTTTCATGTATTTGTACATAGTAAAAAAATTCTTAGTTTGAGACTAACCTTTGCCCATTTAGGATTAATACATGTGTGAGCTTGACTAGAAGAAGGCATGAGTTGGCCAAAATGGAGCCTTCTTGAAAAATATCACCCAGTTGGAAGAAAGGGTGAGACTTCGACATGTGACAGTTGCTCCAACTGCAATGTTGAGTATTCACAAGAGAGAGACAGCCGTAAAAACAACACTGGTACTTCTACTGATCCTAATAAACCACTCTGTGGTCTTATATGTGAATCCTAGGGGGAGTGAAAATGGTAAATATAACCTGAAAAGGCTCTTTCACTAAAATATTCTAATCAGTACTTAAATTATATTGCAGACATTTCTTAAGAGCCAAACAATGCAGTAACATAAAGGCAAGGAAGAGACTAAGGTTTCTTCCTCTTTGGTAGGAGGTACACAGTGCTTTTGATTTTTTTATTTTAAGGCTCTTAGTGTGATGACACTATGTTGAAACAACCAACATGTTATTATAAGAATACACCAAACCTTCAGCAGAGTAGTTAATAGCAGTCTTAGTGGATTTTATTGGACTTAGTGGATTTCAAGGATGTGGTGGGCGTCAAGGTTTCATTATTTGTGGGAGTTAAAGCCAGTAAACTGCATGAAATTCTAGGTTTTATGTGGAACATGACCAAGGTCCTGGATCATTGACAGTGGTGGGCATCATAGAATTCAAACAGGAAAGGGGAAAATGATGTGTTTTTGCCATCCTCATTTGAGAGTGTCTCAAGAAAAGCCTACAGAAAATAAGGTGCTACATGGGAGCGGGGTGAATCTGTTTATGTGGGCAAATGTAATTGTGTGAGGGAAGGTGGGGAGATGAAAGCCACCGTGTGAATATATTAGTGGTTCTTACCAGAGGTAGATAACTATTGATGATACCATTAATTGTGATAACATTAAAGTAGACTGAAGAAACACTATTGATACATTACCTTTCTCCTTACTCTGCGTGTATTATTTATTATTTAATCTCAGAAAGAGGTTGTATACCTGGGTATTTTAATGTAATCTGTAAAATGAAGGAGCACCACAGATTTACAGATATAATAATAATTATAACACTTTGCCATGACTTACATCTATTTTACTATTTATTACTTATATCACTGGCTTTCTTTTAAAAATGAATTTTTATTGAAATCCTCCCCCCACCCATGTTATCTCCCTCTGTGCATTCCTTTTCTGCAATGGAATGAAGTGAAATGCTCAGATTAAGGTGTGAAAAGTTATTGTAATAGCTTTAGGAGATAGCCAGCCACTTCACCATTTCATTCCAGTGTTCAACTTCTTCTCTGATGGTACATTAAGCTCCAAAGTAAGCATTATTATCTTTTCAGACTTCAGGATGCTAACTTTACTAAATTTATTATTTACTTGAGGGTAATGATACAAGTCAAGTAATAAATATAGATAAGAGAGAAACATCTCAAATTATTTTTGTCCTATCATTTTAGACAATCAGATATACAATAAATAGTAAAACTTGGGTAAAAATAAATAAATAAATGGCACAACATGTTCTTAAGAGGTTATATTGAAGATCAAGGGCTTTCAGTTACTTAAAGCCTAATGATTCATTCAGTGGTTTGCTCTGACTTGAAAGCATCTAAAATTTGTTAAGTACTACATTCACATCTTGGATTATCTGTTCCCTTTGGAAGAGGCTAATCTATTTTCATTAGCCTTTTTTTTCCTTTTCTTTTTTTGATAGGGACTCTAAAAAAGGAATTAGGATAATGTTAGATGGGTAAGAATTTCTGCATCTTTAATTTGTAAAATTTGCCAAAGATAAAGGAAAAATGTAATGGGAAAAATAATGATAAATGGTGTAATATTTTAATATTACCCTTTTTTTTTTTGAGACAGAGTCTTCCTCTATTGCCAGGCGCCAGGCTGGAGTGTACTTATTAATAGCTATGTCTAATATCTTAGTTGTAAAATGATTATAACAAACAGATTATAATATTACTATAACTCTGTGCAGCCAACACTCTTCTTTTAGTATAGAAAAAAATAGTTAAAATAATTTATAAGGGATGATAACTATTCAACTTTTCAGGTTTTCAATTGTCAAGGACTTTCAAAATGTAAATAATACCTTATAACCTTCCTGTATGATAGCAAAGAAATGAACAGGAAATGTGATTAGTTTACAAAGAACTTAGAATAAAATTTATGAGTGTCACAGTTTGATCATTATTAACAAGGTAGCCCCTTTGCCTGGTGGGGTGTTTGTTTTCCCTGACAAGTCTATTATTTAAATATTGTTTTATATTTTCTGGCTGTAATATATCTTCAGGCCTAGCCTGGGATGGGGGTTGTATCATTTTGCATTTGGTTTGCTTATTTGTCATTTTACTTTAGAAACAAGATTGCATATCTGACAAGATATTTCAGTTTATGTAATCAGTTATTAATTCTCTATAATTAGGAAAGGCAAATTTCAACTCAGCGTGAGAAATTCTGTGCACAAAAGAGCCTTTAGAACCAGACAGAACCAAAGTATTTTGCCCTGAGATAAAAGTAACTGTGTCTCAACATTTTTAATTGCTTATGTTTCCATCATATAAAGAAAACACATATTTGATACATTTTGTTATAAAATTTTAAAGTAAAATATAATTAAAATGATGTAATCATTTGTATACACAAACTGTTTCAGCCAGTGAAACTTGATGTTGTATAAGGAAGATGTCAAACTTTGAAACTTCTGCTAGCACTTAGGTGAAAAATAAGCATTTTTATATTTGTTTAATTTTAACAAGTTTATTTTTTGTAGCATATTATTGATGATGTATTAATGAAGTATACTATTGATAATCAAAAATAGGGCTTGTTTTACAAATATGTTTTAAAGTCCCAATGGATACTAGGCATTATTATAATTCCTAGGATATATAAACAAGTGAAGTATAATATTTGACCTTAAAAATGTCATACATTCTAAAATCTGATAAAATCTTTCACTTCAAATTCTGATTTAGCCACCAGAAACCATATATTTTTCAATTGTTCTGATTCTTAGTTTCCTATAGAATGGAGATACTAATCATATCTACTTAAGGGATTGTAATAATAATTAAAAAAGATAATTCGTGTTAAACACTTTCCAAACTGCTTGAAATGTAATAGGTACTCAATAGATATCTGGTTTTTATTTGCATTTCCCTAATGATTAGTGATAAGAGCACCTTTTCATATACCTTTTGACCATTTTTATGTGTGCTTTGGAAAACTATTTGGGCCCTTTGCCCATTTTAAAATCGGGTTATTTGTTTTTTGGTTATTGAGTTTTGTGAGTTCCTTGTATAATATATTTTGGATATTAGTCCCTTTTTAGAAATGTGTTCTGTAAATATTTGTTCCCAATCCAGACGTTGACTTTTTATTTTGCCATATTCTTTGCTGTGCAGTAGTTGTTTTTAGTTTGATATAGGCCAGCTTGTTTATTTTTGCTTTTGTTGCCTGAGCTTTTGGTATCATATCCAAAAAGACATTGCCAAGGCTAATGTAAAGGAGCTTTTCACCTATATTTTTATTTCTAGGAGTTTTATAAGTTTTGGATCTCACATTTAAGTTGTTAATTCATTTTGAGTTGATATTTGTGTATGGTGAAATATAAGGAATATTTGTGTATGGTGAAATACAAGGAGTATAAATTTGTGTATGGTGAAATATAAAGAATATCTTTTTTTTTGCACAGTGATGTCTAGTTTCCCCAGCACCATTTGCTTAAGAAACTGTACTTTCTCCAGTGTGTATTCTTGCCACTCTTGTGAAAATTAGTTGACCATATATGCTTGAGTTTATTTGTGAACTCTATTGTGTTCCATTGGACTATGTGTCTGTTTCTATGCTAGCATCATACTGTTTTGAATACTATAGCTTTGAAATTAGAAACGTTATTCTTCATTCTAAAGATTGCCTTGACTATTTGGGGTTTTTTAAACTTCCATATAAATTTTAGAGTTGTTTTCTTCTATTTCTGTAAAAAATGTCCTTGCAATTTTGGCAGCAATTGTGTTGAATCTGTAAATCACTTTGGGTAGTGTGTGGACATATTAATAATACTCATTCTTCCAATCTATGAACATGGGATGTTATTCCATTTATTTGTGTCTTCTTCAATTTTTTTCATGAAGTTTTATAGTTTTCAAGTGTACAGATTTCTAACCTCCTTTGTTAAATTTATTTCTAAGTATTTTATTCTTTTTGATCCTATCTTAAATGTAATTATTCTCTCGATTTACTTTTTAGCTAAATCATTGTTGGTATAAAGAAATGCTTCTGGCCAGTGTGACGGTTCATACCAGTAGTCACAGTGCACTGTTAGATGGAGACAGATAATTTGAGCCCAGGAGTTCAAGACCAACCAGGGGAACATGTTAAAACTCTGTCTCAATAAAAACATACAAAAATTAACTGGCATGATGGCACATACCTATGTAATTCCAGCTACTCAGGTGGGAGGGTTGGTTGAACCCTAGAATTCAAGGCTGCAGTAAGCCATGATTTCACCATTTCTCTCCAGGCTGGGTGAAGATTGAAACTCTGTTTCACACAAAGAAAATGCTACTAATTTTTGTATGTTCATTTCGTATCTTACAATATTACTAAATTTGTTTATTAGTTGTAAGATTTTTTTGGTGAAATCTTCAGGGTTTTCTAGATGTACAAGTATGTTATCTGTAAAAAAAGATAATTTTACTTCTTCCTTTCAAATTTAGATGCCTTTCATTTCTTTCTCTTGTCTGATTATTCTGGCTAGGACTTTCAGTATTATGTTGAATGGAAGTGTTGAGAATGAGCATCCTTGTCTTGTTCTGATTTTAAAGAAAAAGATTTCAACTCCTCACCATTATGTATGATGTTACCTGTGGGATTTTCATAAATGGTCTTTGTCGTTTTGAGGAAGTATTCTTCTATACCTATTTTGAGTTTTATCATGAATAGATATTGAACTTTGTCAAATGCATTTTCTGCCTCAGTTTGTAAGGAAAACAGAAGCAGGCCCTACCCCCTGCTGTCCTTCCCCTATTCTCCCACAACAGACCCCAGTGTGTGATGCTCCCCTTCCTGCGTCCATGTATTCTCATTGTTCAACACCTGCCTGTGAGTAAGAAAACACAGTGTTTGATTTTCTGTTCTTGTGTCAGTTTGCTGAGAATGATAGTTGCCAGATTCATACATGGCCCTACAAAGGACACGAACTCATCAGTTTTTATGGCTGCATAGTATCCATGGTGTATATGTGCCACATTTTCCTTGTCCAGTCTATCATCAATGGGCATTTGGGTTGCTTCCAGGTCTTTGCTATTGTAAATAGTGCTGTAATGAATGTACGTGTGCATGTGTCTTTATAATAGAATGATTTATAATCCTTTGGATATATACCCAGTAATGAGATTGCTGGATCAAATGGAATTTCTATTTCTAGGTCCGTGAGTAATCGCCACACTGTCTTCCACAATGGTGGAATTTACCCTCCCACCAACAGTGTAAAAGTGTTCCTATTTCTCCACATCCTTTCCTGCATCTGTTCTCTCCAGATTTTTTAATGATCACCATTCTAACTGACGTGAGTTACGGTATCTCAATGTGGTTTTCATTTGCATTTCTCTAATGACCATGATGATGACTGTTTTTTCCTATGTTTGGTGGCCTCATAAATGTCTTCTTTTGAAAAGTGTCTGTTCATGTCCTTTGCCCACTTTTGAATGGGTTTATTTATTTATTTATTTTTTTCTTGTGAATCTGTTTTAGTTCTTTGTAGATTCTGGATATTAACCCTTTGTCAGATGGGTAGATTGTAAAAATTTTTTCCCATTCTGTTGGTCACTGGTTCACTCTAATCATTGTTTCTTTTGCTGTACAGAAGCTCTGGAGTTTAGTTAGATCCCATTTGTCTATTTTTGCTTTTGTTGCCAATGCTTTTGGTGTTTTAGTCATGAAGTCCTTGCCTATACCTATGTCCTGAATGGTTTTGCTTAGGTTTCCTTCTAGGGCTTTTATGGTGTTAGGTCTTATGTTTAAGCCTTTAATTCATCTGGGGTTAGTTTTAGTGTGAGGTGTCAGGAAGGGGTCCAGTTTCTGCTTTCTGCACATGGCTAGCCAGTTTTCCCAATACCATTTATTAAAAAGGGAATCCTTTCCCATTGCTTGTTTTTGTCAGGTTTGTCAAAGATCAGATGATTGTAGATGTGTGGCGTTGCCCCTGAGGCCTCTGTTCTGTTCCATTGGTCTATATCTCTGTTTTGGTACCAGTACCATGCTGTTTTTATTACTGTAGCCTTGTAGTATAGTTTGAAGTCAGGTAGTGTGATGCCTCCAGCTTTGTTCTTTTTGCTTAGGATTGTCTTGGCTATGTGGGCTCTCTTTTGGTTCCACATGAAGTTTATGGTCGTTCTGTGAAGAAGGTCATTGGTAGCTTGATGGGGATAGCATTGAATCTGTAAATTACTTTGGTCAGTACGGCCATTTTCACAATATTGATTCTTCCTAACCATGAGCATGGAATGTTTTTCCAACTGTTTGTGCCCTCTCTTATTTCCTTAAGCAGTGGTTTGTAGTTCTCCTTGAAGAGGTGCTTTACATTCTTTGTTTTAGTTGTATTCCTAGGTATTTTATTCCCTTTGTAGCAATTGTGAATGGAAGTTTGCTTTTGATTTGGCTCTGTTTTTCTGTTATTAGGGTGTAGAAATGCTTGTGATTTCTGCACATTGATTTTGTATCCTGAGACTTTGCTGAAGTTGCTTATCAGTTTCAGAAGATTTTGGGCTGAGATGATGGGGTATTCTAAATATAAAATCATGTCATCTTCAAATAGAGACAATTTGACTTCCTCCTTTCCTAATTCAATATTCTTTATTTCTTTTTCTTGCCTGATTGCTCTGGCTAGAACTTCTAATATTATATTGAATAAGAGTGGTGAGAAAGGGCATCCTTGTCTAGTGCCAGATTTCAAAGGGAATGCTTCCAGTTTTTGCCCATTCAGTATGATATTGGTTGTGGGTTTGTCATTAATACCTAGTTTATTGAGAGTTTTTAGCATAAAGGGCTGTTGAATTTTGCCAAAGGCCTTCTCTGCATCAGTTGAGACAATCATGTGGTTTTTGTCTTTGGTTCTGTTTATGTGGTGGATTACGTTTATAGACTTGCGTATGTTGAACCAGCCTTACATTCCCGGGATGAAGCCTACTTTATTGTGATGGAAAAGTTTTTTAATGTGCTGTTGCAATCGGTTTGCCAGTATTTTATTGAAGATTTTTATGTCAATGTTCATCATGGTTATTGGCCTGAAGTTTTGTTTTTTTTTGTTGAGTCTCTGCTGGGTTTTGGTATCAGGATAATGTTGGTCTCATAAAATGATTTGGGAAGTATTCCCTCTTTTTGTATTGTTTGGAGTAGTTTCAGAAGAAGTGGTACCATCTCCTCTTTTTAGAGGTGCATTAGCTCCCACTTGAGGCCAGGGCTCTTACCTAGGGCATTTGAAGTTCCCAGCCTTCAGAAGCATTCTCAGAAGGGAGAATTCCACTGAAGGCAGGTTAAGTGGAAGAGGCATCTTTGAATAGCTGTAGGATTGGGTACTGGGCTGAGTGGGATTATAGCAGATTCAAGTCCTTTCAAGTCCATTAGAGGCATTCAAGGCATGGCTCCACTGGGTCCCATCCTGGAGATCACAGTTGCCTGCAGCCAAGACCCCAGCAAGACCAGCCTGAGTGGTGGGCCTGACTGACTCAGGCGCTATGTCATTCCAGCCTGCTCCTACCACAGCTGCAGCCCTAGCCCCAAACACAGATGTGGCCTGGCCCCAGCCCCATGGTCGGCTGCCCAAGAGAAAGGGCAGGGAAGGGAGGCAGACAGTTAAGAATAGCCTCAAGACCCTAATTCATGTATCACTATCCTGCTTTAGAAATGGAAAACCTGAGGCTTGAAGACATAAGAAGGAATATGTTCAAACTCTCAAATGCTGCAATGTAGACTCCAACAAAAGAATCTAGCAGGTTTTGGTTTTAAGGCTGGGACTTCAACTGCAGCCCTTGAAACCTCCTTCTTCCTCTGTGGTGGGGCCTGTTCCTTTGGGGGCAGTACTGAAGGTTGTTGACTGGCTCTCTTCAAGTCTGAAGCTCCTGGGATACAGCTACAGTCTCCACACTCCCACCTCTGATAGACACCTGGGCAGGGTGTGTTCTCCTCAGAAATTCAGAGACAGGCTATGCCTCCTCAGGCTGGATCACTAAGTAGGTGTGTTTAACAGCTTCCCATCCTTGCACACACTCACCCCCTCCTCCCCTGTGCACTAAGGGCTGGGGAGGGCAGGAGAGTGGAGAATGCAGGCCAGAAAGCTGGAGTGGCATTGAGTGGCATGTGTCTAAAGGTGGTGGATTTTTGCTCAGTACTGCATAGAGCTATCCCCTCCCCATCACAAGGAGTTAACTATGGAGAAGCCACACCCTGTCCATGGAAAACATGGGTAACTTGAGGAGTAGTCCCAGGACGGGAAAGAGGAGATCCCTAAGATTTTTAGTTCTGCTGCACTCAAAATGTTAGTTTGCTGTTTCCACCATCCTAGTCTATTGTGCCATAGTTCTAACCTAGTCCCAGTCCAGTGCCTCACATTGATAGAGTTGGCTTAAATCAAACTTGTAATTCTCAGTAAATTCTAGCCTTGCCATCTCTTCGAGACAGGGCCACAGTGCAGCAGAAATGGTGTTCTCTCCTAAGCTGGTAAATAATAAACTAAATTTTGTTGTATCTACCAGGTTTTCTTGGTGATATTTGGTAAGCCAGCAGTTAGCAGTCTAAAGAAAATCTGTGTGTTGTATAAATAAGTAAGTAAATAGCAGTAAGAGAAAAGAGAATATATCAGGATTCTAACTTTTGAGAACAAAATAGCCTGAAGCTGGAAAAATGATAACTATTACTACACATATAGTTCTGAAGAAAGCATATTTAAAATTTAATCACCTAAGAAGTTTTATAGAGTAGGAAGATCTTATAGAGTAGGAAGATGTGGGATCAGAAAAAAAAAAGGATGTAAATAAAAAAAGGTACATTGGAGACACTCAGTAAAAACTTAGAATATGTTGCCTAATCTAAAATTCTGAATAAAGTAAGATCTGAATTGTGTTTACAATTTTTCTTCTCTCCCATAGCTTTTTCTTTTTGTATGTCATTCTTTTTCTTTGGATTATCTTTCTTTAGCTATTTACCTTTATGATCTATTTAAAATGTTAGACTTCTTTTTTTTCAGAAGGAAAGCTTTCCTGTACCTGCAGCATTCATTTAGATGTTTCTTCTGTATGTTCCTGTGATTGAGAAGATTTACACTTTGGGCATTTTAAAATAAAATTATAAATACCTCTATTCTCGATTGCCCAGGATAGAAAATAAACGAAACAATATGGAAGATGCTAAATTGAAGGATATGGCCAAGTGTAAGAGCCAAATGGACCAGCTAACTGGAGCCCACAATTAACCAAACTTATTCAGGGTCTCTCAATTTGTACTCTGTCTTACAGGATGGAGAAGCAGAGAAAACCTTGGTGTCTTTCAAATGGAAAAAAGTAGATGAAGCTGAGCTGGACATGTCATGTGTTCTTAAATTTATCAATTAGGTTAAGTCACTCCTCCTTTCCTGAAGCAAAGGGATATGAAGCCAAAAGTTTAGGTAATTGATCTCCCTCCACTTGGATTGAAACAATGGGAATGTGGAAACGCATTCCATTATAGCAGACCTAATCATAGCACTACCTATTATGCAATTTTCTATTTACTTGTCTATCCTATTATAAAACCCCTGAAAGATACCTCATTTTCCATTATAAATGAGCACAAATCACAGTTCATAGTACATAAGAGGTGCCTAGTAAATGTTTGCTGAAAAAGTAAATCCCAGATACTATATTACTCTTAATTACACTTTTACTTTCTCTATTTCCCATTAGTCATAATAATTAAATATTTTATAAAACCTCAAAATATCATATACTTCTCTTAAGGATTTAAAAATACAAGCAAAAATAGGAGCCTACGTTTTGTTTCTCAATGGTTGAAAAAAAAGGGAAAGAAACAGAAACAGAATCTATCAGAAAGCTTTTTACTTCAGACGTTGTCAGTGAATGTTTATAGAGGTGAAGTGAGCAACATAGAGTAGTAATGAAACATGATGGAAAAAAGGGCCTTTTTCTTTTTTTGCATCTCTCAGAAAAAAAAAGAGGTGGTTGAAATTTATTTGTCCCCAAAGTGTTATATTGATAGAAATACCAAACCCTATATTTGACTTCAGAAACCTGGGTGCTACCCCATTCTTTGCTCAATGTCATGTCAACAGACTTATTTCTACAGATATAAGATAGGCAGACATTGTGGGGATGGGAATATTCTGCCCCAAGGCCACAACATACACTATAAATTATGAGTTTAGAAAGGTTTTAGTAAGCTGTCTTGGAAAACTATTTCTTTAGGGCAAGTGTATTCAATTTTAAACATTGACCTTTTAATTACACTTTGAGAGCTTAATTCTTTTATTAATTAGGGACTTGCTGTATCTTGATTTTTAATTGCTAGCTGGTTTTAATCAATTATTTTCTTCTTGTTCTCACTTCTATTATGAAAATTATTTTACAGTTTTTAATTGCTTAAAAAATAACTTGCTCTAAAAACCTTAAAGACTTTCTGAATATTACCTTAAAGTGCAAATACAAACTTCTTATAATTCAAGGACAATAATTTTTAAGGGAGAACATAATTGCCTTTCCTTGTCTGTTTTTCCTTTTGTACAGTGAATGATAGAACTTCTACCCAAACACCTTCTCTACACTTTGAGAACTCTTAAAACAATTATGCATCCTCCATAGACATTCCTTCTTTTGGTAGAGAGTCTCCAATATGGAGAAGATAGCATTTATTGGATTATGTTTATTAGTAGGTGGATTTTATGACTTAAAGACTGAGTTCCATGTGTTATCTATGCTGGCAGCCGATTAGATTGTGCCCACCCAGATTAAGTGTGAGTCTGCCTTTCTAGCCCACTGACTCAAATGTTAATCTCCTTTGGCAACACCCTCACAGACACATCCAGGATCAATACTTCGTATCCTTCACTGCAATCAGGTTGACACTCAGTATTAACCATCACATATATACTCAGATTGTTGGATCATATGGTAGTTCTACTTTTAACATTTTGAGAAACTTTCATACTGTTTTCCACAATGGCTGTACTAATTTGCATTCCTAGAAACAGTATATAAAGATTTTCTTTGTTCCACAACCTTGGTAAGACATGTTATTTTTTGTGATATGATATATTACTGTGGTTTTAATTTGCATTTCCCTAATAACTTATGATATTGATCATTTTTATATACCTGTTGTCCATTTATATGTTTTCTTTTGAGAAATGTCTGTTCAGGTCTTTGGCTCATTTTTAATAAGTTAATTTTTTATTTTAATTAATTATTTATAATTAAGCCGTTTGAGTTCCTGTATATTTTAGATAACAACCCCTTATCAGATGTATGGTTTGCATATATATTCTCTCATTCTATAGTTTATGTCTTCACTCTGTTGATTGTGTCCTTCACCGTGCAGAAGCTTTTTAGTTTGATGCAATCTCATTTGTCAATTTTTTGCTTTTGTTGTCTGTACTTTTGGGGTCGTATCCACAAAATTATTGTCAGGCCTTTGTACCAGTAAGTCACTGGATACAGCTGCTTGAAAGAAGGCACATTCATGGGGAAGACAGCTCTCTTCAGTGGAGAACAATCTCCAGAAGATGACTCAGCTGTGAACTGTACACCACAGACACTACTAACAATGCTGAGTGACAGGAATAGGTGTCTTGGTTCTGTAGGGGGAATTCTGACAATACATCACTTCATCCGCAGCATTCACTCTGCTGGAGCTTGACTGGTCATCCTGTCTCTTTGCTTCTAGTTTGGCTGGACAAGGCTTGCCATCTTTTCTAATTTCTTTAGTTGAATAGGTGGATTCTGATCCTGCTCCATAAATCTAGTGGTCTCTTGGTGTGTAGGCAAACCTAAGCATGAACAAGAAAAAATTTAGAGTGTAGGAAATATGATAGCTTACTTTAAATCTAAGTCATTTTCTTCACACTACCCTGTCCCAGAAAGCCTTGCATTAAGGATTATAGGCAAATTTTTAGGAACAATGTAGTCAATAATCTATTTCATATTTAAATAGTAATACTTGTACAGACTCTATGCTTTATTGGAGAGATCATTGACTTTTGATATCACTTTCATATAGTATGCAATTATAGTAATATTTTCATCAATGTTCTAATACTTTTAGGAAAGCATGGTGTTCAAAAATCATTATTTGTGGAATTTTCACCTTGGTGCCTGAATTTTCACCTTGGTCTCTCCACTTGAAAGCAGTATGAACTTAGAATTCAGTTAATTATTAATAAATGTGCACAAAACAATGTCTATTTTTTAGGATGGTTTAGGGCAAAATGAGATCATTCATGTAAAATTGTTCCTGAAACTGTTCCTGCTACATTTTGCTCAACAGAACATACATTGGTTATCATTTTTATTATCTTTGAATCCATTTGCTGTTGCTATAATATAGTGACAAAACAACAAAAAAGTCTCAGGGGCATGTAACCCTAGGCATTTATTTAGCACATTCAGCTGTCAGCTGGCTAGAGATCAGCTCGTCCAGGCTGGGCCTGGCTGAGTGGCTCTGCTACTTGTGGACAGGTCTTCTCAAGAATTTGTGAATTGCGTCTGCTCCATGTGTTTTTCCATCTTCCTCCAGAAGTCAGAGAGCTTACTTGTATGTGATCTTCTCATGACAGCAGAAGTGGATGAGAGCAAGCCCAACTGCCAAAGTGATTTTCAGGCCTTTGGTGACTACATTTGCCAGTCCTTCATTGGTCAAGGCAGGTTACATGGGTAAAACCAAAATCAAGAGTGGTGAAATATACTCTATTATTTTAATGGGGAAAACTGATACTCCACATAATAAAGGGATTGGGTACAAAGAATGTTAAAGAATTAGGGCAATTAAGACACTCACATATCTCCAGTGGCAACAACCTAAAACAGATTAGACAAGTTGAACTCCCCTAACTTCATTCCTATTCAATGCAGTCTGTCCTTTGTCCATATCCACCATTTGTAGTGCCTCTGTAACCCCCTTACACAATGCCATGTGGACCATCTGCTTGTATTAATAGTTATTTACAGCTTCCAACCAGTTCCTTTTACATGATTTCCTTTAACTGAAACTTGGTGTTACCGTAATGGTGCAAATACTTTATAACTTCTAGGTTCTTCCTTTGAACTCATTTGATAGCAGTTGAAAGCAGCATACTCTGCCTATGTCTTTTCAAGATAATTATTCTCTGGCCATGGCTCAATAGTTTTCTTATGAGTGGACATCTTCCATTTCTGTTTATCTCTTTTCAACTTAGCATCTCTAATTCACCTTGTTTTGTCAGCAGCATCAGAGCTCCAAATCCATTCCTTACATTATGGCCCTTTTAGCCTTACAGATTCTTAGAACTTCTTTCTAGATTTCTATCATTGGAGATTTTTCTGTTTTTTTTTTTTTCCTGCTCCGTAGGTTCCTTCTTTGCCTTATGTACTGAAATCTTTCGTCCTTTCAGTCTGCAAATGTAAGTATTCTTTAAAATTTTGTCCTTAGCATTCTAACTCATCTTTCCCTTGGTAATCTAATTTGTTCCCACAGGTTAAGTTACGGCTCTAAGGGAAGGAATCTCAAGTTTATGTTTCCTCCATTGGCTTCCCTCCCAAGTTACAGGACTGAACTTTCAGCAGCTTGCTTTTTACCATCCACACTAATCTGCATCTATTTTGATGACCTGTAGATTTTTTATTGGTACCTTAATCCTCTCAAGACCCAGGATCAAAATTTCATACATTTAATTAGTTCAATGCATTTTAGTTGTGTAGTTCTTTCTATTCTAATCTACTTAAACCTTTCCATACTCCTATGTGTGGCAGGAAACTCAAGCCCATCTAATAAGCATGTACTAAGTGCCTACTCTATGACAATATTGCAAAGCATGGTAGATATAAATATAAGATATGGTTTCAGCCTTCAAGGAACTCTATCGGTGGCGGCAGAAAAGAAACATTTTGTTATAAAATAGAGAATCAAGGGCCATGCTAGTTGAATAAACAAAATGTTATGGTAACACTAAAAAGCAAGCAATTAATGCTGATATGAGGATCTGTCAAAGTCGCCTTCACAGAGGAAGTGGCATTTGAACTGTC